TCACTTGTGAAGTGGAGCCAATAGTATGGATGATTGTTGAACGTGATTCATTGACAGATTCCACAATGAACACTTGTTATGTCGTCAGATAATGAGAAAAAGATGAGAGAGATTTGGGTCCGATAATCTCTGTTTGACTAAAATGTGAAATCCTAGTTTGTCCAAGTCAAGTCACAATTTGGTTGTGATGACATTTGAATGAATCACATGTTTATGAAGCAAGTAAGCTCATTGAGCAAGTATGTCCCAGTTGAGAGATCGCAAATTTGTCGCCTAGTTAAGTCGGTAGATGACAAAGAAGATCCTTTTGGAATCTATTTTCTGGCAAAAGCTGATGATGGCCATGATAAGGGATTAGGGAGTCTGATGTATGACAGCTAAGACAATGGTTCTTTGAGAAAATACGAAAACTTTAAGTATAAGTAGAAGATTGTTAGTGTATGTTTATTGTGTTTTTGTGTTCGTTTTCGTATGATTTATACATTTTAGTTTAGTGTTTTTAAGTTCATTTTTGTGTAAACTGGTCTATTTTGTCGTGTTTTATGTATTTTCTTCTTTTATTATGTGTTTTTATATTTCGGCGTATTTTTCGCCTATTTGGTGTGTTTAATGCGTTTCATCATAGATTTTAAATAAAATAAGAAAATTAAGTGCAAAAATACGAACCCCATTTATAATTAATTATTACTTTGTTTGTTATTCATAATTTTTATATATTCATTATACATAATTTTACAATATAAAAATAAATTATTTTAGTTTTTATATTAGCCTTGTTTGGCGATCAGCGGATAGCGGATTGTATCAGTGGATAGCGGATAGCAGATTATATTAGCTGATTTGACGAGCGGATTGCATTAGCGGTTTTCAAATAAGTGTTTGATAAATAGCTAAAAGCTTATAGCTGTTTGACATTGCAAAGTGACAATTAAGAATATTTTATTATTTAGAGTGTATTCTTTTAATAATAATATATTAAAACATTTAATATTCTTTAGTTGGTAATTTATAAATATATTATTTTGTTTAAAAAATTTACTAACACTTGATGAAAAAGTTATGAATTTTACATTTTTCTAGATAAATTAATCATATGGATGACTTATTATTATTTATTAGCACCATAAACCAATGTAGATTGTAAAATAAATAATACAAATTAAAAAGTTTCAAGTATATGATTTTTTTGAATCCTCTATCCCCAAAACGCTTCTCTAATGAGTTTTTTTCTAAATTAAAGTTTTGGGCCCAAAAAACTTATCAAATAAGTTATTTACCAAACAAGCTCAATAGCGGATTTGACGGGTCAAACCTCTCAATTAAGTCCAATCCGCTCATTTATCTTCAATTCGTTATCTTCCAAACGGGGCCATTGTACAAATATATTTACGTATCTGTGTAGTACACATGTATAGTACTAGTCGATATATGAAAAATTAGATAGATCTTTGAATAAATAATTTTTAATAAAATTTAAATTATATAATTTAAATATAAAAAATTAGTTGATAAATTTGAACGACATAAAATGTAACTTATTAATAGTTATGTACATTATACGAGTTGAGTAATAATTTTAGATACACATATTTTTATATAATTTTGCAAAAAAATAAATTTCATATAATATTTTAAATAAATTAATATAGGGGGTGATTTCTAATTATTTAGTGAAAATTTTTAATTTATAAATATTAATAAGTATCTATTACCGTCCATCACACTTGATTCATAATAGTTTGTTTTAGTGAGTTACAAAACCGATACTTATATTGGAATAGGACAGTACCAGTGTTTTAGTAACTCAGTACTTATATGTTGCCATTTAATACCGACTTATGTGAACGAAAAATGAATATATACTGTAAATATTTGTTTACAAACATGATATGTATAAAATGTAGTAGGACAATACTAATGTTGTTGTAATTTAGTACTTATATATTATGTGGAAAGAAAGAAAAAGAAAAATAATAAAAAAATATAAAAAAAAAAGTAGTAGAAGAGATGAATATTAGAAGATGAGTAAAAAATAATAAAAAATATGTGGAAAGAGAGAGAAAGAAAAATAATAAAAAAATAAAAAAAAATAATAGTAAAGAGAGAAAAATAATAAAATAATAAGATGAGATGAATGATAGTGGGGATGATGTCATTTTCAATTTGTTTTTGACTTATTTAAGAGTTAAGAGGAAGATGATTAAGGAGGTAGGGAGTAGAGGAAAAAATTTGTGTGGGGATTGAGGAGGAAAGTTAAAAGAAATTTATGGATTTTTGAGGAAGTTTTCCATAAATATACATATATGTACCAAATTTATTTGAAATAGAAATGAATAAAAAATAATATATTCGATGCAAACTAAAATGTATCACGGATGACTAAAAATGAACTTGAATTGTTGCTAACTCTACTTTAGAATAAAGCAGAGGGCTCAAGATGGTCTAATACTTTTATCATGCTTTTGTTCATT